CGGGGGGGGGGGGGGGGAGGGAGAAAAAAGACGAAAACCACTAAAAACGCGCGTAAAGAGATGTTATCTTGGATCTCTTAAAAAGACTTTCCTTGTTTATAGCCACACCTGACGCACGGTTGCCACGCTCGTCACTGAAAATAAATTCTCGGCCTTTTTACCAAGGTCCGTTGGTACCTTTCCCTTTATCTCACTTTTTTTACCAATTACTGGTAATTTTATCAAGACAGACTGGTAAAGCTTGCCTAAAAACCGGTATTTTTACTGGTTTTTTATTTTCAGGTAAGAATACCACTTTTGTTGGTAATCAATTCCCGGTGACTTTGCTATTTTATCTCGGTAATTCTACCACAGTCGATGGAAAATATTGGTGTTTTTACCGGGGTCCAGTAAAATTACCGAGAAAGTCAATAATTTTACCGAGATTTCTCGGTAAAATTACCAATTCCATAAATGGTAATTTTACCAAGAAAAAACTGGGATCAAATACAACCCTGAATTCTTAGTAATTTTACCATTTTCTCAGTAAATACACCGAAATTTTTTTTTTCAGTGATGCACAGTCACGGGGAGAGTGTTTGAATCTCAGCTGAAAATCGGTTCGACTTCGGAAATATCTTTAAACGTTTTTTTAAAATTTGCAGGATGTTCTTGATTTTGAGATATATATTGCGGCGAAAAATGTTTCGAATAGTTTTTATGACAATATTGTGACAAACATACTTTTTACACACTTTCCCTTCGTTCGACCATATTATAGGATTGCTCCAAAGCTTTGTTCAATTTAAATTGTCTTAAATTAAACGTAACAGCAACCTCGCAATATATTTTCAAATGTTTTTAAATTATTTTAAAGATATTTTCGGATTTGCCGAGATGAGGATATTTTCCTGAGTTGAGGGGGTGAAGTGGTATCGTTATGTAACTGAGAATTGAGAGGAAGTGCAAGTAATTACAAAGAGAGTATTATATAACGTAACATTGCTATTTTGCCTTAAATTTTCGAGGTAGGCCGCAAAAAATCCTTTTTGTGGCAACATTAATCTTATGGAGGATCGGCGTCTTATGTTGTCTTTTTTCACGATTCAAGTCATCTTTTTTGCTTCCCATTTTTCTAAATTCTTGGTTTCTTTCTTTAATTTCTTTAGGCGATCTTCTTAATTGAAAAAGCTCTTTAGCCGTTATTTCAGTGTAAAGAATGGAAAGCCGAACAGTTTGCAAAGCAAGTTTCTTGAAAGTCTCGTTTTCTATACGAAAAGCTGTCACGCCACTTATTCATTATACACTGGAAAAAAAACACATTGGATTTAGAGTCCAGACTCTTAAAAACATCGATAAGAAAAATACTCTTGATTCAATCAGATTTAAGCTTAAATCAAGAACCAAGCCTCTTAATTTGAGCGGATTTCCTTTTGATTTCAGCTTAAATCTGATTGAATCAAGAATCCTTTTTCTTGTCAATATTTCAAGAGTCTGGACTCTAGATCCAATGTGTTTTTTTTTTTTTTTTTTTCCAGTGTAATCAAAATAAAAATTAGTAAAGACCAATGAGGACATTGGACAACTCTCGGTTCTTAAATAAAAAAAAATAAAAATAAACCTACTTTTTTACGTCTCTCAAAATGAGGAAGTTCAGTACCTATCTCGAGTTTTATCGGCTCGACGTGGCAACCCTGCGTTTGACATTAATTTATACCTATGTATGAACGCAACGTCGTCGTGAGAATATGTAAATGGAAGATAGAAATATTTGAATTTTATACCACTCTCCTGTCCGTAGATAAAAAAAGGGAATGAAAAACAAATGAGTAAAAACAAACACAAACATTAAAAAGACAAACTCGAGATCCTTATTTTCTCCCGGGAATAAAAGTCACCGTTGTCTCACCGGTTTTAATTGCAACTCGATTGGACTAATGGTCGATTCGGACGGGTGATTAAATATTTAGGGTTGGTGGGAGGAAGACGAAGAATGATACAATTCATAGCCAATAACTGAGAAGAAGAATTTTGGAGACTCATCTGCGTTGAACACTTCCCTCAGAATAAAAGTTATTTTCAATAATCAACACATTGGTGAAATTGCACGAGAAAATGTTAGTGCTTCATCTGAAAAGGCTTGATGAACTTAGTGAGAAAACCACAAACGAGAGAAGGCGACAAAATCTCTCATTTCCTGAGAGTATAATAATTTCCAATTTTATCGTCTTTCAAAGATACAAGAGATAGCACATTTAATTATTCGAGTTAAGAGAGAAACCAAATAGTTAAAACACGCAATTTGGCCCGGAACGGCGCGACTTAGAGAAAAATGATGACGAGGACTTGAGATGAAAAGGAGAAGCCCTCGGCGCGGCAATCGACATGTAACACACATTAGCGCCTACAAGACTGCGCGAATACTTCACGCATTTCGCCAAACACAGTACGGTCAGCGTGAAACGCAAAGCGCCTACAAGACTGCGTGAATACTTCTCGCATTGCGCCAAACACGGTGCGGCGCGGCGGCGGAAGTTAAAATCATTAAATCAAATATTGTGTTTGTTCTTTCATAATTTTTTCGTTCATTTCTTATGAATGGAAGGCCTTGTCCACACAGAGATAGGTTTACGAAACTTAACTTTCGCACCAAGTTCCGTGAACTTTTGCTAGTAGTGTTGACAGGGCTTTCGCAAAAAAATGTGTCCAACACGAGTAAACGCGTCTTATGCACCCCTCCCTCGCTGGCACGTTCATTTGATGGTTTTTATTGATGTTTCAAAACGAGTGAGAAGGGGGTGGCAAAATACAGGCGGCCCATGGGCGGCAAGTAGGTAAATCCGGCCCTGGATAATAATTGAAAATTAGTTTCAAAAATAAGTTTCCGGCCACAACATCAGACGCATGTAACTCCTTCATTGCAAACGCATCATTAAAACATTGATCGCTGCTCCGTCTGAATTGGAGACTGAAGTTGGGTCCGATAACAAAACGTAACTGGCTTGTGGTAGAAATCTTCATTAGACAAGCTCTTTCCTTCACGCGCTTTTAGGCTGTTTTAATCGTAGATAATAATTTTTCAAAGCAAGGTTCCTACTTAAATCGACACCTCCAATTTCTTAAACAGTCATCGTTGACACATTACAGCTTCATCGGGAATGACGATTATTGATTTTACAGATTTCAGACTTTTCCTCCATTTCTTCGGCGTATTATTCAAACTGCCAACGATTTACAATTGCAACGATCCTATGAGGGCGAGTCAAAAATATTCTTCATGACCAAGAAAATACCGTCTTGCCGAGTAAAAACACTGCATGGACCTTCGGACGCTCCCACATTTCCTCTGATAAAACGTCGCTTGGCTGACATAAAGGGCGTAATTACATTTAGAGATGAGCCTGGGAAAGCATTAAGTTATATGGACAACAGGGTTCATCTCGAAGTGTAGTTACGCCCTTATGCTAGGAAGACGACGAAAATACACATTTTTGAAAAAATATTTCTAAGTTATTTCATTAGAATTTTCCAGAACATTGTATTCGCAACTGAATTTAATAAAACTAAGAATTTCAAGGAAATAATTAACTACTTAACTAAACATTATCCTTTATTGTCTCGAGGGACATTTCGTAACGTTCAAAAGCTCATACTATGTTCTCCCTCAGTACGGCAGCGATGGGTTGCATGCACGCTTAGACATGCTAACAAAGAACGCCGTATAAGCCACCCGGCGCTGCCAAATTTTCTTAGAGAGTTCAAAAATTTTCTGAAAAACTTGTGCAGATTTTTCTTCCAACGTTTTAGAGACTTTCATTCGTATTTCGATCTAAATTAGCGGACAAAATCAAGGAAACTTATTCATAATTTTTTTCAAAATTATATACGTTACCGGAGAAAATTTGGCAACGTCGCGATGCCCGTACGACGTTCTTCCGCAGTTCA